ATTTATGTTTGCTCAAAGTATAAAATAGACTTTAAGGTAGTCATACAAAATGTTCAAGCTAAAAACTTCAGGAGGAACTATTAAAGTTATATTTTAAGAGTGGGTTTGATGACAATGCACTTAGTTTTTAATAATATAACTTTGATATCTTAGCCAAATGCACTTCGTCTCAATTTTTTATACATAAACAGAACTATTAAAACAGTTTTATATCTCTTGCGTAATCAAGTGGAGTTGTTGACCGAAAGTAATTGTAAAATTATTTGAGTTGTTTAAGTATGAAGCAATATCTAGATAATGAAGGTCTGTTGATTACCTTTTGGTTGGTCGGTTTAATGTTTTCTTTTCTTTTCTTTACTCTCCTTTAGCACAGGATCCTGTCTAGACCAAGACGTATTAAAAAGGACAACTGCTTCAAATAATTACTTGAAGAAAATTAATGTCGATAGCCACGATGACTGAAGTTCCAGAACTTATACATACGCTTAGAATTGGGAAACTCCAACGTGGTCATTCAGCTACAGGATCACATGATAGTTACATTTATGATATAGTAAACAATCACCATGTAAGAATATATGCCATCTCAATTCAAAATATTGGTTGATTGATTGGGGTTTAACGCCACTTTCAGCACTATTGTGCTATTTCGTGGCGGTCAGTTTTTATTGGTGGAGGAAGCCGGAGTGCCCGGGGAGAACCACCGTCATTTCAAAAATAAGAACAAAATAGCTTTGGCTTTGGTGTACTGCATGATGTCAAACAAATTTAAAAGTAAGGCGGAAGAGGGGGTTGGAATCCCCCTTTTTTCTATTTTTTCGTTTCATGGTGTTCCGGGGATTGGAAATCCCCCTTTTCAAAATGGCTGGATCTGCGCCCATGAATTCAAACTCATTAGTCGAAGAAAAACTGACAAGGCAATAGCAAAAAAAAAAACGAAAAGCGACCAACATTCACAGTCTACAAAACACAACAATAGAAAACTTAAGCATAAGCAACAGCGATCTGAATGCAAATAAGGAGATATGGTATGAATGTCAATAGACAACAAGACAACAGAGACAAAAGGAATAGGATTTAAACAAATAAAGGTCACTGTATGAGGCCTACAACAAAGAGCAGAACCTTTACCGTATAGTCGGCTATAAAATTGACCCTGCATGATAAAGTGTAAAACCCTTGAAAAACTGGCAAGAAAATCAAACTGCTTTTAAAATGCTTAAACAATATAGAAAACAAAAATAAAACAATTATAATTTTATTAAATTTAATAATAAGGTAGACAGCAACAAAACACAACCACTGAATTAAAGACTCCCTACTTGGGACAGGCAAGTCAGTCTCACCGCAGAAGTGCATGAAAGTTCTTCAGTTGTGCTTTGGAAATAACTGGTTAACTCAGAGTTGGACCGTGACATAACTTGGAATTCGAACATAATTATATCAGCGAATAGTGTTTTTCCTGTTTGGTTATAGCTATTTAGACGTTGTGTAAATTTCTTCATAATCAACATTCGCACCTTTCATATTTCAACTTTAATTTATGTTTACAAATCAAATGATGACCATATACTTTCAATACTAAGGACATCCTTATTAGCCTTTCATTCAAGTTATGCTAATAATCAATTGTTCCTTAGGGCTTTGTTTTCGTTGACGTTGTGTGACTTTTTGAGTGTAGGTGAGATATCGATTAAAAGTGGTTATTAGTCAAACAAGGCGCCACAGGTGAGGCCACAAGTTTTGCCATTCCATTTTATCACGAAAATAGTATGTTTAATGGTGACAAATTAAAAAGCAAGGGGGAAATCCTTTCTCTGTTTTTTAAAAGAATATAGAGAGATGGAAATCAAACATTTTTGTGTGTTACTTTTTTGTTTTTATTACATTTTTTAAATCTGCTTGTTTGAATAAAGACTGAATTTGTTTCAAACAATTAGTCAATAATTTAACCTATTATAATAGTTGTATCGTTTTTCACTCTACTTTGGAATTGCATATTGTTTTCACGTTTCGTGTCTCAAGTGTAGAAAAATACTAAATATCATACGGTTAAGGAGGTATTTACGTAATTGTTGATCTTTCGATTTGTGTATGATATTTTGTATGCATTTAGAAATAATGACATGTGTAGCATTTTTACTTTTATAGATACAATCAATTACAAATTTGAAAAAAGATACACAAATTTATTATAGAATATAAAATAAGAAGATGAGTTATGATTGCCTATATATGAGACAACTATCCAACACGAAGCGGATTTAAGTAACTATAGATCACCGTACCCCGTCAACAATACTTTATAGTTGGCTATAAAAGACCTCGACACGACAAAATGGATATCAATTCAAACGAGAAAAAAACCAAGACCTGATTAATGACAAAACAATGAACGAAAAACAAATAATAGACACTTAATGCTACGATTTTTTCTCTCATGCACTTAAACTCCCATTCATCCAAGAGCTGTTAGTAACTGCGAGAAGCTCTTGGCCGGTACTTGGCGACTTTTGCTTTTATTGTAGCTTTTTTTGTGTGCTCAATACCAATCTTTTGAGTTAATCCATTTAAAATTGATATTAACAGTTTGATCTTATGTTGTGCTGTTACACCATTGTCCCTGGTTAGGGGAGGATCACAAACATATTTAACACCGCCATATTCTTTATTTGCCTGTCCCAGGTCAGGAGCCTGTAATTCAGTAGGTTGGTCCTCTCCGTAAAATATTCAGTATGCCTTCGTAATATATACAAATATTAAGCTTGTCAATAACAGTCGGGTACCAGTCTAGTAATTCAGAGCTTGTCAATAACGGTCGGGTACCAGTCTAGTAATTCAGAGGTTGTCGTTGGTTGCTGTCTATGATGTTTTATTTTCGTTAGACGCTTAATTCTACTTCCTGTTTTGTTATAAAACAGGAAGTAGAATTTCTTTTTTGAACTGTTTCATATTTTGTCATGTCGGGCCTTGTGACTGACTGTACGGTATGGTTTTTTTCTAATTGTTTGAAGTCGTGGTACAGTTGATAGTAGTTGTCTCATTTACAATCATAGATAACCACATTTCCTGCAAAATTGTAGTTTTCTCTTTTTTCATACATAACTTAAGATGATTTAGACACCAATTTGATATGTATGTCTGGAAGAATAAATACTTAGAAATAGTATATCAGTATTCAGATGCATTTCAACGAATACTAAATTCATACAAAATTTCTGAAAAAATCCAAAATATCGTTCAATTACGTAAAATTTGCCATACGATATGCCTCAATGGAATGTGAAGTACATTAGAACTTGTTTACTATCGAATGATTTATATTGCGCATTAGAAAAATAATTTACATCTTGAGACTACATTTTAAGTATCGGAAAAGACGTAAAAATTCAATAAAAAAAAAATGTGTCCTCCAAATTTTATTTTATATAAAAGTACAAAATGCATATCATCAAAATTTAGATACTTCAAATGTCATTATTCTAACAAAAGTGAAAGTATTTTATGTACGCATAACGGTAATGTATCGATATCAAGCAGGTGCGGATCCCAGATTTTGAAAAGGGGGCGGGGGGAGGGACTGGCAAGCAAACGGTTAGAGTGATACTTATAAAAACTCTATGCATTTATCATATATGAAACTCCATTACGGGGTCCCCCTAGATCGACCTGTGTATAAAGGACATCCTGTGCCATAAATTGTATATTTGAATAGGTAAAAAAAATACAAATGCTTTAAAACTTCTAGGTGGATAAAGACATCAAGTTTGATAGATTTTGCCAATTTTCAGAATTTGTTAAATTTGCTATTATGAAAGTTAATATTTTCAATCTAATTTACGAACTACTTTAAAAGGACACTCAAAACCGATGTTTGTTTTCGAAAGTCAACTTAAAGCTATTTATTACATTTCGAAAATATCGTGAAATTAAATCTTTAAATATTTGCCGTTTTGCATAGAGAGGCAAAATTACCGAGTATAAAAATAAGGAGATGTGGTAATATATGATATAAGACAACTATACTCCAGAGACCAAAGGACGAGGATGTAAACAGTAAAAGGTCACAGTAAGGCCTTGAACAATGAGTAAAGCCCGTACCGTATAGTACGTTATTATAAAAGGCACAAGTATAAGAAAATATGAACAATGTTAAAGAGAAAACCATTTGCCTGAACTATGCTGTCAACAATAAACAAAAACAAACATGGAACACAGCAAACCAACAACACATTACAGGTCTCTTACTTGGGATAGGTGCATAAAGAATGCGACGGGATTAAACATGTCATAAAAAACAAACTGTAAAAATTAGTTGGAAAGGTATGCCTATTTTTTTTTATAAGAAAGCAATGAGAAGATTTGGAGTGAATAAGCATGAAAAAAAACAGTATCAAGAAATCTGAAAATAAAATAAAACATTATATGAAAGAAACGTTGTGTTATTGCTGTTCTTCGTCTTGACTAGAAAGTCTTCATCAATGAATTAAGGACCTCAAACGTATTTTAGCGGGGTAGCAGAGTGGCTACAGTGATAACTAGACTGTCAAATCTGAGGTTATGAGTTCAAATCGTGAATAAGTCATTTGCACTCCAATATTAGTTGACAAAGATTAACAGTTGTTTCTGCTGACTATATGTCAGTAGTTATATCCGGATACTCCGGCTTCCCCAACCAATAAAAACTGACCGTTGTGAAATATTCAAGGTCACTCAATGTGGCATTAAACACCAAGAAATGAATACAAAAAAGACATAACGCTATATCAAGACTACGCCGGGAAGCCCGTGAGACGACTTGATAATACTGTACTCCCTGATATTGATCTTATTATTGGACAGTTAACAGTCAAGCACTTTGGCCATTACACACACGAAATTAGATAGCCCTTCTCAAAAATATATGTGGTTTTACACCTGATAGAAAATGGACTAGAGACGTGAAGATATACGATATATATACATGTGAATAGTGGCGTATATAATATTAATATAATGTTATGTGAACTTTAAACTTAGATAAATATATAAGGTTTGTATACATTATTTGACGGATACAGGTATAACAGGTGAGAATGTAAACGTGATAAAATGTATAAAATGCATGGATACAATATTTTAGAATATCCTCAACACTATTTGTTTTCTGTCTTATAACATGTTTAGTTTAAAAGGAGAGGCTTATATTTAAAAAATGTCAACATCATTGAATGTGCGTCTACTGACTTTTTTTTATAAATTGGGACAAATGACGTATACATGTATAATTGAGGGTATGTGTGGAGGTTTACAGAATAGAGAATAATAGGGCGGATAAGGAATAGAGAGAATGGACAAATAAATAGAGGATAATGGGTGTATGAATATAAAGTATAGAGAATGATGGGGTGATAAAATATAAAGAATAGAGAATAATGGGGTGTATGAATATAAAGAATAGAGAATAATGGGGTGTATGAATATAAAGAATAGAGAATAATGGGGTACATAAATATAAAGAATAGATAAGAAGGGGTGCATAAAAAAAAGAATAGCGAATAATCGACAAAAAAAGATTAAAGTAAAGAATAAAATGGCTTCAAATCTAAGGAATACAGAGGTGAAGACCCTCCCCCATCCTGATCGTCATAATAGTCGTCATACTGATTTCCGTTTTAAATAGGTCAATGACATTTGTAGGAAGTGCATATAAAAATATCGTTACTGATATAAACCACATTACATACTCATCAGGAAGAGTTTATCGGTCAGATTATAAAATGAATACATTTCCGTGACAACCTCTACACTTTAAACAGCAAATTTAGTATAGAGCATAACAGCTCCGCAAAGTAAATGTATGCAGGTGCAAAGAAAGGGAAGGAACCTGAAATAGAGGAATAAAATGACAATTCAGAAGAACAAAAAAAAAAATGAAAAAAATAAATCGCCCTTCTAACATCATTAAGCAGTGATGGTCACTCACGTTATATATATGTTGTGTACAAGTTGTAATGTTGTACAAATTATAATTTGAACAGGGTTTTTGTTCAAGTTATAAGTATTTTGACATACACCTTCTTTCACCAGGTGATACAAGTTTATCTTCAATAATTGCCCAGTTCGATGTGTTTTACCCACACATTTATATACTTCAACCTAACATTAAACACTGTCCTCTATGTCATAAAACTACAAATAAGGACACCTGATTGTTTTATATTATATTTTTATTTTTTGACTAATACCAAATTCTATGTCCACAAAATATATTTTAGTGTTTTTATATAAACTTTGTGTCAGTACTATGTGCAAGACTGTAGCATGTAGTTGTGGAAATAAAACAGTGATATGCTTAACTAAAGACACTGTGCTTATTTTATCTAATTATGTAAAGAGATTCACAAAATACTGATAACATGTACAAAAATACTGTACAAATTATGATTTGTACAACATTACAATTTGTACACAAAATATATATATATATATATATATTGATCTAATTGAGTCAAAAAGGATGACCATTGCAAATCACAAAGTTAAGTGGTTTTAGTTAGTTGTTGTAATATACAGTTTAGTTCCGTATTTGGTCTTAAAGTCAAGTATGGAAAGGAGATTTAGAATTGGAAAGCTTGGGTTCAATATAATTATAATCATAGAAAACATACAAAACCTTTTACATGAAAACTGATGAACTCCACACTGTAGTTTAGTGGTTGTCGTTGGTTCATGTCTGTCATATTTGTTTTTCATAAATTGTTTTTGTTATAGATTTGGCCGTTTGTTTTCTTGTTTGCATTAATTTTGCTTCACGTTTCATGTCTGGGCCTTTTATAGCCGACTATACGGTGTGGATTTTTCTCATTGTTGAAGGCCGTAAGTTTGCATATAATTGCTTGCAACCACTTCATTTGAACTCTGATGGATAGTTGTCTCATTGGCAATCATACCACACCTCTTTATTTTTATAGATATAAGAAGATGTGGTTTGAGTGCCAATGAGATAACTCTCCATCCAAGTCACAATTTGTAAAAGTAAACCATTATAGGTCAAAGTACGGCCTTCAACACGGAGCCTTGGCTCACACCGAAGAGCAAGCTATAAAGGGCCCAACAAATAACTAGTGTAAAACCATTCAAACAGGAAAACCAACTGTCTAATCTATATAAAATGGAACGGATTAACAGCTTGATACTAAAACGTATGGTTTTAATTTTCAGGTTGTACTTTTTTAAATTTTTCATAAACATATTACGGTCATATTTTGTTCATGTGATTAAATGTTTTCTATATATTTTCATTTCTTTTTTTATTCAATTTTTGTTTTTGTATTATTTCCTTTCTTATATTAATGCCATTTCTTACACATTCTTATCAGCATCTTTGTAGAATTATAGATGTCTTTTGGATTTGTTTTTGTCGTGTGGTTGCTGTCTCGAATTGATAGATGTGGTATGATTGCTAATGATTCTATTCAGCAGACACCAAATCAGCAGACACCAAATGACGTGGATCATAAGCAACTATACATTGTAGATCAAAAGGCCCCGACAAGACAAATGTAAAACAATTCAAACAAGAAACCAAACGGACAAATTTATGATTAACAAATAAATGAAAAATAAATATAACAGACAGCAAACGACGACAGCCACTGAATCACACACTTCTTACACGGAACAGGCACATACGGAATTTGGAGGGGTTAAACATGTTTGCGAGCGCCAAAATTTCACCTTACAAGAAAGAAACATCAGCTTCCTATTTAAAAGTACTTGCAGTTACAGAAAGCAACCTCAGAGCCATTAAACACTTACAAAATTCATGTTCTCCAGTAATTTTTTCACCTCTTTTTCAGGACGGAAGACTAGAGAGTCATGGCATTGGTTCCAGTCGAAATTTTTAGTTCTCCATTTCTAGCACTGTTTGGTGTTATTGTAGTTTCCTACCTGGTCATATCACTGATTCGGTTCAAAAAGAAACGTCAGTTTTATGATAATCTTCCAGGTCCAGAGGATTTTAGCTGGCTGCATGGTAATTTGCATACGGTAATTGCTTTGCTTACTTTTAATTGTTATATCTAAAATTATGGTTATTCCTGATTTTAAATGAAGATAACAGTTACCTAAAAAGTTAAACAAGACATAAATGAAGAGCCCCATCATGATGACCCTCTTCGATAGTCTAAAAGAACAAAACAATACTGTGATGAGACATGTAAGTGATAACTGAAAATTGAGGAAATAAACCCAATTGGGTTCTATATAATTATATATAATAACATTAACGGTACCATTTTTACTGCACCAGATGAGCATTTCGACAATTGATGTCTCTTCAGTGATGCTCGAGGCCTATCTATTTAAAAGTCCAATAATATAAACGATTAAAGTTAAATCCAACCCCGGACAAGGAATAAGAGCTATCATGCATGAGGGAGATGCTTTCCTTAGTTTTAAAGTTATTTCCAAATTTTAATACAGGAAATTTAAATCAAACAATATAAATAAAAAATATGTTCATGACCGTACTAAAGTACTGGGAACTGGGTTGGTGATACTCTCCGGGACTTATCAGCAGAGGTATCGACCTAGTGGTATTAATAACATCAAGTCCAATACTTAACATAAACGTTGACGAGCTAATGAAACCAAAAACGATTACAGGTAAATGCAACCCTGGACAAGGAACCAGAGTTACATGAGGGAGATGCATTCCTAACTTCAAATGATTTCAAAATTGTAAAACGCAAATTTATATAAAACAATATCCGTACATTTATGCCATTACCAAAGTACTGAGTTGGCGATACCATCGGGGACTTATAGTCCTCCAGCAGAGGTATCGACCCAGTGGTAGAAATAACATAAATGGTACGAAGTTTACATCACCATTTCATATATTTAGACAGAAAAATATATTAAAACATTAACGAACTATATTTTTCCATATATATTAACCAGAACATTCAACAGACAGACAGAAAATTCAATTTAAGAAATGTGCTCCCAAACAATGTCACTATTGTCGCCTACGGAACACACAAATCTTTTTTATTGGTGTTATTTTGCTGATGTTAATTAATGTCTCTCCTCTTTTTCTAGTACCCTAAAGGCTCCGAGGAACGTTTACGTCGCCATTATGAGAACATATGTAAATGGCCGAAGTTGCATAGAATATGGCATGGAGGGTTTTTGCCACATGTTCTGCTTTACCATCCAGATACAATTAAAGTTATTCTTAAAACGTCAGGTTTGTATTCCAAATAAACAGTAATATAATGCTAGGGATAAAACGTCAGGTTTGTATTCCAAATAAACAGTAATATAATGATAGGGATAAAACGTCAGGTTTGTATTCCAAATAAACAGTAATATAATGATAGGGATAAAACATCAGGTTTGTATTCCAAATAAACAGTAATAACTAATATAATGATAGGGATAAAACGTCAGGTTTGTATTCCAAATAAACCGTAATATAATGCTAGGGATAAAACGTCAGGTTTGTATTCCAAATAAACAGTAATATAATGCTAGGGATAAAACCTCAGGTTTGTATTCCAAATAAACAGTAATATAATGCTAGGGATAAAACCTCAGGTTTGTATTCCAAATAAACAGTAATATAATGCTAGGGATAAAACGTCAGGTTTGTATTCCATATAAACAGTAATATAATGATAGGGATTTACATTTTGCTGTACATTTAAGTTCTAGTGGTAGTTGAGAATGTTTCCACAAGTAAGCCATTTCTAATAAAAGGGCAAACAATTATTCTTTGATGGGATTAGGGTGATGGCTTGGGGAGATATTTCTTTGTTTGTTTGTCTTAGATTGGAGAAGAGGGTAATCGGCGATTTTTATTTTGGTTTTGGTTTAAATTTTGTTATCGTTTTTGTGTGTATATGGTGTTTTTTTTTCTATTTTATTTTATTTCAAGTTTGTTTGTTGTTATTTCTGTGCTTTTTTTTTCCGTTTCTTTTTTCTGAAAGGATTTATGTTAAAAACAACTTAAATCATAATGTGAATGTACAATATGATATATCTTATGTCCATATTTTGTGGGTTTTTTTTTCATAGAGCCCAAACCACGTGGCATTGGTGGAGTATACGAGTACGCTATTCCATGGTTAGGTGAAGGACTACTTATAAGTGATGGTGACAGATGGGCGAGATCTCGACGTTTACTTACTCCTGCATTTCATTTTGAAATTCTTAAACCTTATGTTAAAGTATACAACGATTGTGCTGACATTCTTGTGGTAAGTATTTAAAACAAACGCAAACAACGGCCAAAAATACACGAATAAGATAGAAAACTATATATCATACAGATTTCGGCAGTCGTACAGACAGTCCTTGGACCAAGTCTGCTTTTCAAGTTAACTTAACTTTGGTCCTATGACCGGTTGAAACAGTTCTAAAACCTGTCGCAAATTAACTGTAACCAGATAACCAGTCTAAATGACTGGTTATGAAGTTAACTTGCTTTATAGGTTAGGACTGCACCCATATATACTTATAGTATCTCAATCTAAAAAAAATACTATAAAAAGAGATTGGAATTTAACGTTGTAGATTGTATGTGTTCATTGATGTTGAAGTATCAAAACACTGTTACAACATAACTCATTCAAGTTTGCCGTCTATCTCCCTATTTTTACAATAAGATGCATCCACCCGGAATCATTTTATGCGTAGCAACACCAATTGTGGATATATTTTCATGAGGCAGTAAATAGATGTGTAGAAGCACAATATGATCTTCTTCATTTGTTTACTCTTTAAAAAATTCAACATTATCTCAACGAAAAAATACATATAACATCCTGTTCCATCCTTTTTCTTTTAACTTCTCTTTCAATTTCTTATCATTTTAAAAATATTCTTTTTATAAAAGAAAAAATATTTTCTTAATTAATTATACACTTTGCTTTGTTTCAGAATAAAATATCTAAATGTGCTGAATCTGGTGTGAGTTTTGAAGCTTTTGAAAATGTCAGTTTATGTACATTGGATATAATTCTGAGATGTGCTTTCTCTTACGAAAATGATTGCCAAACTAGAGGGTAAGACAGAGATAATATCAGTGATTGACACAATACTTTATATTCCAAGTGTATTGACTAAACTAGAGGGTAAGACAGAGATAATACATGTATCAGTGATTGACACAATACTTTATATTCCAAGTGTATTGACTAAACAAGAGGGTAAGACAGAGATAATATCAGTGATTGACACAATACTTAATATTCCAAGTGTATATACTAATAAAACAATAATGCTAAGTAGTGATTGACACAATGCTTTATATTCCAAGTGTATTGACTAAACTAGAGAGTAAGACAGAGATAACATCAGTGATTGACACAATACTTTATATTCCAAGTGTATTGACTAAACTAGAGGGTAAGACAGAGATAATATGAGTGATTGACACAATACTTTATATTCCAAGTGTATTGACTAAACAAGAGGGTAAGACAGAGATAATATCAGTGATGGACACAATACTTTATATTCCAAGTGTATTGACTAAACTAGAGGGTAAGACAGAGATAATATGAGTGATTGACACAATACTTTATATTCCAAGTGTATTGACTAAACAAGAGGGTAAGACAGCGATAATACGAGTGATTGACACAATACTTTATATTCCACGTGTATAGACTAAACAATAATGCTAATCAGTGATTGACACACTACTTTATATTCCAAGTGTATTGACTAAACTAGAGGGTAAGACAGAGATAACATCAGTGATTGACACAATACTTTATATTCCAAGTGTATTGACTAAACTAGAGGGTAAGACAGAGATAATATCAGTGATTGACACAATACTTTGTATTCCAAGTGTATTGACTTAACTAGACGGTAAGACAGAGATAACATCAGTGATTGACACAATACTTTATATTCCAAGTGTATTGACTAAACAATACGGCTAATCAGTGATTGACACAATACTTTATATTCCAAGTGTATCGACTAAACAATACGGCTTATCAGTGATTGACACAATACTCTATATTCCAAGTGTATTGACTAAACAATACGGCTATCATATTCTTTAAAAAAAGTACTGACATTGCCAAGAAGGGAAGCTTGAGGAGACAAATATCTTTTACTGTGGATTCATTTATAATATGTAGCAATTACATAGATATTTGATTTTGTGGTTATGCCAAAGCCTTACACAAGCATATAGAACATTTGTATATGTTAGCGGCAATAAGTGGAATTAGGCATTAAGCTAACGCCTAGGCATTAAGTTATTGCCTGAAATTTCCAGGCATTAAGCTTATTTCCTGAAATCTGATGATGATAATTCAACCTATTGCCAAACATCATTTCATGCAATAAATTAATTTTGGAATTTTTGTTTATCTTCCAAATACATGTTAATTCGGTGAAATATTCTTGATGAATGATATTAAAAGAATTATATTCAAAAATTAAATATAAAATGATTTAAAAGAGCTTCATCTTTAAGGCTTTTTTCGTATTCAAAACAGAACTTTATACTCGTATTTCTTTGTGGTATTGTCGACCCGGCTTCAGCTGGTCAAAATAGATAACTAAAGTTATGAAATTTTGCCAGTCACTTCATCTTTCAATCTGTTTTATTGAATATGTAAATTTTCTAAAATACTCATCTTATCTTTTCATTTCTTAATCTAAATTATTAGCATTTAAGAAACAAAAACATTCTCGAATCTTTGCGGAACATAAATTTGAAACAGGGAAAACAAAGAGCGTATAGTCCCAAGGCAAAAGTACAGTGATCATTTGGCAAAGATTAAACTTTTATAATCAGAAAATAAGGCAACTATAGACTATAACAATTTAAAATGGTATGACAATATTTTACCTTTGGAGATTTGAAAAACTGGTAACTAAAGTAAAAGAGAATGATGAGGGAAATTTAAAAGTTTATGTTTTTCTAGAGGAACTGTATGGTATTTTGGGAAAACATGTAAGCGATAAATTTGTCCTGGTAAAATATGTCCGGGCGGACACATATTACTAGTATAAAAAGTCCATGGTTACAGAATTTACTAGTATTTTTAGTCCGATGTTAGTAATTTATGTCCCCAGACTAATTTTCCTAGGAATTCAAGTCCATGTCATTAATATTCCTAGGTAAAAACGTCCATGTCCTTTATTTAAATAGGAAAAATATTAATGAATCAAATCATTTACTTATACAATGGAAATTTTAATGTTATGTTTTAATATTGTTTAAGAGTTGTGTATTTATATTTTTAATAAAATTTATGTCCCCAGACTAATTTTCCTAGGAAATCATGTCCATGTCATTAATATTCCTAGGTAAAAACGTTCATGTCTTTTATTTTAAAAGGTACATTGTAGATTTTAATGAAACAAATTATTAACATGTTAACAATGGAAATTCAATTTTTATGTTTTAATATTGTTAGAGAGTTGTGTATTAATATTTTAATAAAATTTATGTCCCCAGACTAATTTTCCTCGACAATCATGTCCATATCATTATTATTCCTAGGTAAAAATGTCCATGTCCTTTATTTTAAAAAATAAACTTACATGTTATGTTTTATTATTGTTTTAGAAGAAAGTTGTGAATTAATTTTTTAATAAAATTTATGTCCCCAGACTAATTTTCCTAGGAAATCATATCCATGTCATTAACATGCCTAGGTTATAACGTCCATGTCCTTTATTTTAATAGCTATACAGTACAATAATTTACTAGAAAAACAAATCTTAGGACAATTTTTCCTAGGAAAATAAGTGCCAGACATATTTTACTACCTATGGACTTATTTTCCTAGGAAAATTTGTCCTGGGACTTATATTCCTAGTAAAATTATGGTCATGGACTTGATTAACTAGGAAAAAAAGTCCGGCAGACAAATTTTACTACCGGACCAAATTTACTGTTACAAACACACCAAAAATATGTCAAAGCGACATTATTTTATTATTATAGACAATTAATAATGGCTTTGCAAACAATTTCCAGGATTCCATTGTACTTTTTCTTTCATTTTGTGAAAATTGCAACGTGATAAAATGTGCATAGAGAAGGGAGTTTATGTTTTCACAATATTTGGCGCGACACATAGACAGCAAAGGGACAAATGTCGTGGATTTACAACTAAGGTTATATCTGAATTAATGCTAATGTGGCCAGAACTAGACTGAGTTATTGTTCACGGGAAGCCAACGCATCTCCAATCACAAGGTAATAATGAGTGGTCAAACCGAAATATTAATGACATGCCTACTGCATGGATAAGGAACAACGAATGAGTAGTTGCAAATTGGAATCAAATACGTCCATATATAAAAGAATTCTGCCCTACATGCATAAAGGTATTGGACGATCACCAGGTACAAATGATAGAAAAAAATAAAACTGAGAAATAGTCTGTGCCATAACAATACCATAAACTCCGCACCAATTGGTAACAAATAAATTTCAGTACAATTTTCTATCAAATTGAATGAAAAAATAAGGAGATGTAGTATGATTGCCAATGCAACAATAAGTTTACATATATTTGAAGAGGTCAATATTTTACTTATGATTTTATTCCATGTAATTGACATTTAAAACTTCAGTTCTTATCATTTTATTATTTACAAAATGTATTTTAACTTTGAATAAATTTCTTTTTATTTACTCTTATTTTCATTTTAGGCATAAACATTAATGCCTGGACATAATTTTCAGGATTTAAGTTTAAATCCTAGGATGTAAGAGTAATGCCTAACATGATTCAGGCAATAGACTAACTGCCTAGGCGTTAGCTTATAGCCTAGGATTTAAGCTTAATGCCTAATTTCACTTATTGCCGCTAACATATATACTTCGTTGATCATTTATATTCGTGGTTATCTATACCTACGAAATCCACTTTAATTGGCACCCCACTAATGATAATGAATCCACAGTAATTATAAATGTAAACAATTAAATTTTACGTGTGTGATTATAAAAAAGTGAATATGATGATTTTTACGGTAAGATGAAAGAATTTGCCTTTCCAGTATTTTTTCTTGTGTAATTTCGTAAGAAAATGTGTTGGAGATGTGAGATACTGTCAGTGAAATGAATTCTACGAGTAAACTTATAGCTCTTTTAAAGATACGTGTGATCTTAAAAATGAAAGAGAAAACAAATTGTATTTTAATTATATCTTCATGTAATGTTTCTATTTCCAGGGAGTCACATCCGTATGTCAAGGCCGTGAATGAGTTGGCTCAGCTATGGTTAGAGAGGGCTAGGTAAAAGATACTTTTTAAGTACAACATCTTCATGAGTGTATGAATGCCCTTTACCGTCAGGCGTCATACGGTCATATTCGGCTACCGTTAACGTCAAATTGATCAAAATTTTACCGTGATTCGTCAACATATCCTTATCGTGATTCGTCAGAGGTCTCAAATAATTATCGTTACCGTTATTTTTGGAAAAAAATTGACGTGATTCGTCAAAATCTGTCGATTTTTTTATCGTCTTGAAGAAAGTCTTCATTTTATCGTCATGCACCAAAAATTACCATTAACGTCATTTGGCAAGATTTTTTACCGTTATTCGTCACGAAGGTACCCCATTACCATCCTCCTTCATGACAACCATGTGTACCTTAAAACGTAAAGTTTGGTGAAAAACATGTATTTATTTGATATACGATATGTTAAGTAGTAATGGGATAAATGGTAGATTAAATTTAGTCGAGGACCTAAAATGTAAATTAGGACTTTTATTCATCACATAAAGAGATTTATAGAAGATTGTATTCTTTTTTCTTGTGATGTTTATACTTAAAGTAACATAAATTATTTTTATATTTCGATAATGTATAACTTGAAGTTATGTTTTATCAGATCTCCATGGTTACATTTTGATTTCGTATATTATCTTACATCAAATGGTCAAACATTTAAGAAGCATTGTGACTATGTGCATAAAGTAACAGAAGATATTATAGACAGTCGTAAAAACGTTTTAGTGAGTATAAAATAAGTGTTAATTATTGAGATCAAGATGACACTATCAGTATGCATGTATGTACTGGTAGATTCCTCCTGTATCCGGAGCACCCATCGAGAGTTGCGAGGGAACAGTGGAATCCGTGAACACACCCTTTCGGGATTGATGGAGATTTGTCACTAACGCATTTACAACAATATTTACAAGGACAATCCCCACCCCAACACAAAGGGAGTGCTAGGACACCGGGAAGTCTGTTATTATGGTGGAGGAAGCCGAAGTACTCTGAGAGAACCACCGGGACACTCGGCGGGAACAGACAAACAGAAGAGATATCAATAGACTGATCTCCAGGTCAAAGTAGGGGGCAACTTTGACCAACCGAGGCCCCAAAGTACCCATTCTAGTTTAAACTCCGGTCTGGGTACCAGAGATGTGTGTGAGAAGGTGAAAATCACCCTTCTGATGTACTGATATTTTTAGCATCCCGAGTCAATATCGAACTAGGGACCTTCAGCACTGTAGCCATCGGTCTTAACCACTACACCACGAACTCGCACTGAAAGCAGTAACACACAATCAACAGGAATAGCATAAAATCCTGCAATGATTAGCAGACCTACATAAGATACACATAAAGCAGTATATGCTATATGAGACAACGAAAATTTCGATATATTCTTCGATAATTGCCACTTTTGTAGCAATATCGTGTATACTACATGTGTGTATGGACGCCACGCTTTACTCCGAAGTATACAAATGAACCAAATAAAACACACACACACACACACACAATAATAATAAAGGCTAGAGGTAAAAATAAATCAAATAAAAATATCGATCCCGAAGGTGCAATAATGCGGGGGGGGGGGGGGGGGTTAAACATGTTTGTGAGATCTCAACCCTCCCCTAATATCTTAAGCCGATGTGGAATAAACAAAAAACACAGCAACACGCACAGTAAAACTCCGTTCAATAGAAGTTTGAGTCCGATATTAGAATATGTAACAGAAAAAAACTAAACAACTAGCAGTTACTGACATGCCAGCTCCAGATCTAAATTAAACTGATTGAAAGATTATGTCTTCATCATATACAAATCAACTACAATCCATACCGTTAGGGGTTGAGGGACGGTTAATATAATACCATCATAAATTATTCAAAAAGAACATCCCGTTTCATGCCAACAACTCGTTTCAGAATACATCAAATACCATATGAGTTAATCAATATAAATACCAAAAAATGCCATGTCCAACTCACCGGGGTCTGTGAAAACAGAAATGAAAATAAGTTACATTGTCATGGCCGAGTTCTTCTTTTTTTATATTGTGATCTAGATTTTAAATTTTCTAACTTTACCTCAGAAGTTAGTTACTCATTTTTCTTTCTAGAAACAAGAACAAAATTTAAATCTTGACAGAAAAAGATATCTGGATTTCTTAGATATTTTGCTATCAGCCAAAGATGAAGAAGGCGTTGGACTGACACCCCTTGAGATCAGAAACGAGGCAGATACATTCTTATTTGAAGGTTTATATTCTGATTTAATTATAATATATACAAATAAGGAGAAGTGATATGATTTTGCAATAAAACAACTATCCACAAGAGACCAATTAACGTAAACAATAATAGGCTTCTATATGGCCTTCCACGATGAGCAGAATATACCAGACTTGTTTAAACGATTCTATTTTTTTTTAAATATATATTTCAGAAGGAAAGCAAAAATACCTTATACTAGTTATTTTGTATTTATAAAAATAAGTAAAAAAACAACATTCATTCGATTTTTTAAAGATTATCATGGCGTTCAGGTGTATTTCCGTATGTTGTTCCGATGCCCTCCCCCCCCTCCCCAACCCATACACACACAAGCATGGAACCCCCCTTTTTTTTTGACGATCAATGCATTTGAATGGGGACATATAGTTGGAAGCCCCCCTTTATCCTGGGTTAGGACCCTCCTCCCTTTTATAAATAACTGGATCCGCCCCTGTTAACATTATTGAAAAACTGCACAATTATGTTGTCATGCATTGTATCACTGTAATCATGTCAGCACCAAAGTACATGGTTGGGACGATGCAAGCTAACGAAGCAGCAGTACTCACCTAGTGATAGTATAAGACCAAGGATAGCAAATTTGACACTCATTTAGTCTTTAGCAGTTTTGTTAACTATGTGCTTCCTGTAGCAGAGAGCACATTATTTCCTTATTCATGTAGATTTTTTTTTTAATTGTATATTTTTTTACAACATTTGGTCTAAGATAGACAAAGAAGAGGTTTGTGCTCACGTAAAACTGGTTTAACCCACCCAATGTATAAAGCCTGTACCAATTCAGGCTTTCTGAACCATGTGTTTTCGCTGTTGTGTGTCTTTTGTTTCGTATGTCTATTTATTCAAAAGGATTCGGGTGTAGGTTGTTAAGATGGTCTGTTGTACTGTCCGAAATCTTTGGGTTTTCCTTTTATTCCTCTGATGACTATACGATGTATGACACGACAAAACATCTAACAACATAAATTAGGCATTGTTTTCGCTTTGCAAAAAAAAAAAGAATTAGTAATTAAGTATCAAAGTTATAAAGTATGTATGTTTCAGGACTAAACACAACTTCTAGTGGAATATATTTGGCGTTGTATTCTCTTGTTGAACACCAAGAGTATCAAACTTAGTGTATATGTTTCACGTTGTAGGACACGACACAACTTCTAGTGGGATATCTTGGGCGTTGTATTCCCTTGCTGAACACCAAGAGTATCAAAAGTTAGCACAGAACGAAATAGATAGTATAATGAAAGACAAAGATACAAATAGTTTTGAGTGGCAAGTAGTTTTATTCACATGTAAAAAAAACACCTGCACTTGAATTTTAATTCTTAGAATTTGCTTGCACCAATTTTCTAATTTTTGAAAAACGAAAGAGATAAAAGTATGCAGTTTCTCTAGGTCTTATTATTAAATACAATATTATTTTTAAGTAAAAATTAGTATTCTTTATTGCTGAATATACAAAAATGTTCTTTCTAAAAATAAGTACCTTATCATATTCTGCCATCCGCTTCTTCAATAACTGTTTCAAGATAAGATGAAAAAGAAAGGATTTTGATAGGGTTTACACTTTTTGTATTCCTAAAATCCATAAAGCTGCAAATTTATTTATTCTATATTATACATTGCTTTGCTGGATTTGTCGATTTGTGGCTTGGTCTCAGCAGCACAAATGATATATTTCGGTAAGTTCCTTCTTTTAGTCAACTTAGTTTCTTGATGAATAGTCAAGTTGTCGGAAAATATCCTCCTCTGAAAGATTATGATGATGATGGATGGCTGCTTAACGTCTAGTGGCAAATTAATATGCATATCCAGGACAAGAACATGCTAATGTAATATGAATATTAACCCTGCTTTGTACTAGACCGACACGCTGAGTCGGTTTTTTAATGTGCTAGTTCACAAGCTAACAGTCTGTAGGAAGACTGTTACGGAACACATTATTTTGACTCCGAGCCGACTAGTCTTTGCTCTGACTCCTTAATGCAACGTACTTAGCGGAGAAGTAGCAACTATCATTTTTTTTCCTGGTCGGGGTTCGAACCCACGACCTCCCACACTCGAGTCACCACGAGACCACCGAGGCGGTTGAAAGATTATGTAACACCGGTATTCATAGAGGTTCTATTTAGTGTATTTCAATGAAAGATCAATATACAAATACTTGAATTTCTCATTGTATTTTTGCTTTAGGGATGATTTATCCAAGATGGATTATTTAGGACGTTGCATAAAAGAAGCTTTAAGACTGCATTCTCCAGTTCCATTTATCATGAGAAAAATAACAAAAGACGTTGAGATAGATGGCACCACGTTTCCTGCTGGTTCCCGGTTCACTCTTCATCTTTACAACCTTCACCACAATCCACACGTATGGGAAGATCCTATGGAATTCAACCCAGACAGATTTCTACCTGAAAATCTAAAAAACAAACACTCTTTTGCCTTTACTCCATTTTCTGCTGGACCAAGGTATGTTATCCATTACTTACTTTTCTGGCTTTTAATGAAAGTTATTAATATTTATTGGTTTATATGTTTTAGGAATCATATATTGACTATATTCACAGTTTTGGTTATAAGCAGAAAATTATGTCGGTTAGAAGATACATTTTAAAACTTTTCTTTTTTCATATTTCACACTATGTATAATGAAGTTGTTTCAAATAAAGAAAAACATTGATAGATGAAAGAGTTTCATCCATGATAAAAATAATTGGCATTTTAATTTTTGCTGCTTTAAATTTATTTTTAGAAATTGTATAGGACAGCACTTTGCAGTTAATGAGGAAAAGGTGGTGATCGCTAACATTTTACGGAAGTAAGTGTTAAACATTCTTTATCAAAGAAACGTTAGAATACATGTACAAGTCGATGTACAGTAAATGGGCTATACCGCAGATACACCAAAAACGAAGTTGTTGCCCTCTTGAATATTTATAATATTAATCTTGCAGGTGAAATGGATATTGTGTGTATCAAGTTTTACAAATTATCATTTTTTAAGAAAAATATATTCTTTGGCAATTTTAGATTAGATAATTTAATGACAAATTTATGAGCGTTTTTCGCCAATTTTTAGTGCTTTCTATGTAAATGTTCACTTGTTTAGAAAGAATTCGTTCAAAGATATTGAAGAAAATAAAAGAGATAATTTAAATGCTTTAGTGAAATGATTTTCAGTTCAAATTTAACATTCCGCAGCTGTATGAAATTATCAATTTACTGTAACTTGACCTCGAGGTGTATCAGTATTTTAATATTTGCATAATACATTTGTAAAAGGCAGTTAGGTCGTAAAAGTATCTGTAAACAGTCCTATAACATATGATGACCTTGGGGTTGATATTCCCTGTCTTCTTCTCTTTTTTTTTTGCTATTTTTTGTTTTGTTTTTACTATCGATTAACCACCTTTAAGCTGGCATTCAAAAAAGAAGTAAAATGAAAATTATTAGCAATGACAACGTTAAAATGGAAAGTAAATATTAAGTCATAAACAAAAAACTTTCAATTTGTAAGAATGACACTTAAATATGTGTTTACTATTGTTGTGATTTGCGTCTGAAATCGAAGAATTCAGTCGTCACAAGTGTTAATTGTTACTGATAAGAGATACTTAATTAATCTAACTTTTGAATTTTTATCCGATTATTTAAAAAAAAACTTATAAAACAAAAAATGAAAGAAATGAAATCCTAATAGCAGTACTGAAGATAAAAAATATGCAGGTAATATTATTCAGAAAACTTGTGAAAAAGCTGTTCGGCTCGCAATAATGTGTCTGGGTAGAGTGATCTATTATCTTCCTTCGAACTGTTACCTTGTAAAGAAGCACTTTCATAATCAGGTCGGTCTAGTACAAAGCAGGGTTCATATTCATACCACATCGCTTTGTGATCTTCCTGATATGAATGTAGTATTTGCCACTGAACGTTAAATACCAATACCTCATCATTATCTACACCTCTGTCGTTTAACATGCCATAGCGAAACAATGGTAACTGTTGTAGTTTTAACTTCATAAAAAAACAGTCAAGGCCTAATTTGCAAGCACAAAGGAAAGTAAAAGAATTGTTAGATAGATAGATTTATTTGATCAAGTATCATCATAAAACATTACAAAAGTAGTATAAAAACAATAGCAGATATATATGTAAACATCATAAAATTTAAAAACAATTGCTGATACCTAATCGGGATTGCCCATGTAATCTATACGACTTATTTACAATGGGGTTCATTTATGTTACATTCTTAAAAACATTAAATATAGTTATAAGAAATCATGATTTTGGCTGGTTTTATACTAATTATGCTAAAGAATTGTTGAAGCTGATTAAACATTTTATTTTGAACAGGAACCATCCTTATAATATTGACTTGTGTTTTTTGCTGACATTTCAGACCACGGTAATTCAAAGAAATAAATATTTTTTCAATAAATTATTAACACATTTTCAAAATTTAGATAGCTAACAATGATACACTTGTATTTTACAGATTTCATCTGTCACTGGATCCCAATCATAAAGTCATGAAGAAAATTTCTGCAGTCATGAGATCTGAAAATGGAATTCGACTGTTAGCAACACCTAGAAATGTAGCTGAATAAAACTGAAATTAACTAGTATGATCTTATCATGCAATATTTGCTCTACAGGAAATGAGTTTTGTTTTGATAAAATACAGTGTCTGTTTGTTCGCCATGTAATTCTTTTAAAATATTCTTATTGTGGGGACAGAACTCGGTTAAGTTGTTTCTTGCATCAACTCATGGCTTATTTATCTTAATTGAATCATTATTGTTTGCTCAACATCCGGTAGCCAATATTTCATGCATATTCAGGACAAAAACAAGACAACATTAAATAAACTAAAGGCTCTCAAGAGCCTGTGTCGCTCACCTGTATCAACTGTGGTTTTGGAAATCATGTAAAATAAGGTTAAAATCATAATAAATAGTATTAGATTCCCTAATAAAGATTGAGGCCAAGTTTGGTTTAATTTGGCCCAGTAGTTAAATTAAAAGCAGGTCATCCCATTGTAGTCTTACAATAGTTACTGAAGACCACTTATCATTATTTAAATTAGTTTTCAAGTTGTGACCATTTGAAATAGTTTTTGTACAATTTTCCCATAGACTTCTATAGTACAGTAAACCCCTATGTTCTATTTTTAGCCATGGTGGCCATGTTGGTTGGATGGCAGGGTCATCGGATACATTTTTCAATCAAGATACCCTATTGAAAATTGTGGCTAAGTTTAATTCTATTTGGCCCAGTAGATTAAGTGTTTAAAATTTACTATAAAGGGCAATAACTCCTTAAGGGATCAATTGACAATTTTGGTCATATTGTCTTATTTGTAGATCGTAATTTGCTGAACATTATTGCTGTTTACAGCTTATCTCTATCTATAATAATATTTAAGATAATAACCAAAAACTGCAAAATTTCCTTAAATTTACCAATTCAGGAGCAGCAACCCAACAACAGATTGTCTGATTTGTCTGAAAATTTTAGAGCAGATAGATCTTAACCTGGTGAACATTTTTATCCTGTCAGATTTGCTCTAATTAGTTTCAGAGATGCCAAACACTGCATTTTACCCCTATGTTCTATTTTAGCCATGGCGGCCATGTTGGTTGCCAGGCGGGGTCATCCAACACATTTTTTAAACTAGATACCCTAGTAATGATTGTGGCTAAGTTTGGTTAAATTTGGCCCGGTAGTTTCAGATGAGAAGATTTTTGTAAAAGTTAGCGGACGACGGACGACGGACGACGGACGCCAAGTGATGAGCTAAAAAGGTACGTAGGATCTACAGAGAAGGTTGACCGGATGAAGCGGTGGAATAATTATAACAACTACCACTAGAAGATTAAGGTATGCCCAGTCTTTTGTTTTTATGTTATGTTTTGTTTACTGTTTTATGTCTTTTGTCGTTTTTCGTTTAGTCGTCCGTTAACTTTTACAAAAATCTTCCTGCTCCTCTGAAACTACTGGGCCAAATTTAACCAAACTTGGCAACAATCATCATTTGGGTATCTAGTTTTAAAAATGTGTCCGATGACCCTGCCTACTAATCAACATGGCCGACATGGCTAAAAACAGAACATAGGGGTTAAATGTAGATTTTGGCTTATATATCTGAAATCATAGCATTAAGAGCAATTCTGACATGGGTAAAATTGTTCGTCAGGTCAAGATCTATCTGCCCTGAAATTTTCGGACATATCAGACAACCCGTTGTTGGGTTGCTGCCCCTGAATTGGTAATTTTAAGAAAATTTTGCAGTTTTTGGTTTTTATTTAACGGTTTATTTCTTTCTTCCTCTGTGATATTTTTCCTGGGGATAATTTGTCACAGTATTTTTTTTCCAGACGTGGTATTTCACAGGTAGGTTTTATCCAGATGAGTGAAATTCTATCTGTCTTATGCGGATAGTATTTACCAGTATATGTCCTACTGTCTACTATGTAAGGTACTCGCAATCAATATATACATGGCCATAATTATAAATGTTTCACCAAGGTAGAACATATTTGCATAATTTATCAATCAAAGGGAGGTAAATATGAGCCATTTATATCTTACAGATATTATATTCCAGAATCTATTTCATAGTGAAATTTTTCCTTTATTCTTAATTTTTTTTTTTTAATTTATATAAAAAGATTACTTAAAACATGATTTATAAAAAAAACTATATTTCTACCTTTACTTTTTTATTTGTACTGAGATCTGAAAACAACTCACTTTTACCTGTATTTCATATATTAAATTGATCATGATATTATTTCACAATTAAGATCTGTGAAATTACTTCTGGTTTTGTTTCATATGTTTCATGATATTTGTCTTTTAAAAGAATGATATTTACTTTAATATTTCAGGATATTATTTTCAATTATAATCCTTGAAATTATTTCCCATTATAATACATTTATTTGATTTTTTATTTATTAATTTAGCTTATATTCAAATACACTATTATTAGTACATAGTATTTGCAAAGATTAAGTTTTTTTTATTAACTATTCAAAATTTAACTTCCCAGATAGAATTTCACGGCAATTGATAATATATCACAGTGAAATATTTTCCTCCGGATAAAAAAAACCAACAACTTTTGTAACAATTTTCCCCCAGATGATATTTCATCCGGATAGAATTTTGCTTTACACTTACATGTATCTTCGATATTATTATAGATAGATATAAACTGTAAACAGCAATAATGTACAGCAAAGTAAGATCTACAAATAAGTCAACATGACCAAAATGGTAAATTGACCCCTTAAGGAGTTGTTGACCTTTATAGTAAATTTTTAACATTTTTTTGTAATTTTTTGCAATCTTTTACAAAAATCTTCTCATCTGAAACTACTGAGACAAATTAAACCAAACTTGGCCACAATCATCATTAGGGTATTCAGTTCAACAAATGTATCCGATGACCCTGCCTACCAACCAACATGGCCGACATGGGGTAAAATGCAAGTTTTGTCTATTATTTTTTGAACCGTTATAAATAGAGAAAATCTGAAAGGAGGAAAAAGTTCAGAATAATGAGCTCTTCCAATTGTTCATATACGTCAAAACTGTTGGACCAATTCTTATAGGAGTTATTGCCCATAAATGACATATTTTACCATTTTTTTTTTCATTTCTGCCTATTATCATGAAAACTATGATATTCAGAGAGAAACATTTTTTCCGTTATGTCTTATATGATTTCAATTATAATAGATAAATGAACACAAAAACGATCAGCAAGGTAAGATCTATTAAAAAGTCAAATTTTGCCGATATAGTTAGTAGACTGTCACTCTTAATAGGAGTGATTGCCCTTAAATGAGGATTTCTTTTTACCCTCTTTTGTGTTTTGAGCAAAAACTAAAGAAGATAGAGAGAACCTAAACAGACTAAATGATCAGTAATACAAGATCAACAAAATAGAGATTTTTTTCATGAAGTCTATTCTCGTCTACAATGTTGGAGAGTGTCCTTTGTTTGATATGCACATAGACCAAGGTGAGCGACACAGGCTCTTTAGAGTTTTGATATCCCTTTGGTATCTACATAGACCAAGGTGAGCGACACAGGCTCTTTAGAGTTTCGATATCCCTATGGTATCTACATAGACCAAGGTGAGCGACACAGGCTCTTGAGAGTTTCGATATTCCTTTGGTATCTACATAGACCAAGGTGAGCGACACAGGCTCTTTAGAGTTTCGATACTCCTTTGGTATCTACATGGACCAAGGTGAGCGACACAGGCTCTTTAGAGTTTCGATATCCCTTTGGTATCTACATAGACCAAGGTGAGCGACACAGGATCTTTAGAGTTTCGATATCCCTTTGGTATCTACATAGACCAAGGTGAGCGACACAGGCTCTTTAGAGTTTCGATATCCCTTTGGTATCTACATAGACCAAGGTGAGCGACACAGGCTCTTTAGAGTTTTGATATCCCTTTGGTATCTACATAGACCAAGGTGAGCGACACAGGCTCTTTAGAGTTTCGATATCCCTTTGGTATCTACATAGACCAAGGTGAGCGACACAGGCTCTTTAGAGTTTCGATATCCCTTTGGTATCTACATAGACCAATGTGAGCGACACAGACTCTTTAGAGTTTCGATATCCCTTTGGTATCTACATAGACCAATGTGAGCGACACAGGCTCTTTAGAGTTCGATATCCCTTTGGTATCTTCCGCCACTGTTTTAGATCCGAGAGAATTTTATATTGGCCAGGCCACTTACGAACCCCTGAACGAGTTGTTGCAATGATTATTTAACGTGTAGAGAGCGTGGGACTCGCCCTACATGTGTTGATAAGGTGTTTATATGGAGTATAGATTAACGTGTGATTTTAAGGTCAGAAATCATTTCATATAAGTTGGTAAAAAATATTAGAAAAAACCTCATTCATACCGTATTCAATACATGTGATTATATTAACCAATTTTGCAGTTTTTGGTTCATTGTGGTGTCATATAAGGTATAACAGGACAGCTATATTAACTACAGTAATACAAGGTCAACGATTATATCTTCTTTAAAGGTAGATGTTTAATGAATGTTCAGTTCAGCTGTTTTTTGATTTTTGAATTCACGGTTTTCTCAATTAAATTGCTGTTATATATTATCAGTACTTTAGGTTTACTGTTATCTGTTTGAGCAAATTTTAAAATAGTCAACCTGTTTAGCTTACTTGTTTTCACTTTGCATCCCTCATATGTTCGTCTGTCATCCGTAAACTTTTCTTTAAAAATTTCTTCTGATAATGGATTGAAACCAAAGTACGTCTGCTATAGGATGTCTGTTTATTATTGTTGTTCAGGTTGACATCTGACAAGGGCAATCATGGTCAGTGCAACAAGTTCCATCTACCCTGAGAATGTGGGGAACATCTGCCCATCTGCTATCATGAAAAATATAGGAGCTAGGTATGAAGTGTTAACTGCAAAAATTATCAACACATGGTTTATTTTTCCTGAAAATTTCATAAAATCTGTTGTCCTGTTTTGGAGTTATTGCTTTCAGATATACATTTTTATACAACCGCAAAATTTTTACGTTCACATTGTCAACTTTGTCGTTGTCGTCGTCCGAAGACATTTGGTATCCAGACCATAACTTGAGTATACATGTATGGATCTCTTTGAAATTGTACTACAAGGTTTCATTCCTC